TATGATGTCGCTGATGGTGCCTTCGGTGCGACTGACTAGGTTTGTCACCTCCTCAAAAGGACGCATGAGCCTACAGGCATTGCGCATTAGCGTCCAGTAACATGGCAAAAAAGTTCCCAGCTCCACAGAGGCTGTCCTAGCACCCCGGTCATACAAATACTCGTTAACCGCTTTTTCTTGTTGGAGCAGGCGGTCGAACATTAGGAGTGTTGAATTCCAACGTGTCGGGCTGTCGCAAATCAAGCGCCTCTCTGGTATGTTTTTTCGCCGCTGGATATCTGAAAAGTGCGCCAGGGCCGTGTAGGAATGCCTGAAATGGCCACACACCATCCTGGCCTGCTTCAGGACGTCCTGTAAGCCTGGGTACTTATGCACACAGCATTGTACGATCAGATTACACGTATGTGCCATGCACGGCACATGTGTCAACTTGCCCAAATGCAATGCCGCCAACAAATTTCTTCCGTTGTCACAAACCACTTTGTCGATCTCCAGTTTATGCGGAGTCAGCCACTGATCCACCTGTGCGTTCAGGGTGGACAGGACTGCTGGTCCGGTGTAACTCTCTGCTTTCAGGCAAGTCAACCCCAAGATGGCGTGACACTGCCATATCCGGGATGTGGAATAGTACCTGGGGAGCTGGGGGGGTGCCGTTGATGTGGAGCAAGACGCAGCAGCAGAAGAGGACTCACCAGAGGAGGTTATGGAAGAGGATGGAGTAGGAGGAGTAGAGGAGGTGGCAGCAGGCCTGCCTGCAAGTCGTGGCGGTGTCACCAACTCCTCTGCAGAGCCACGCATTCCATGCTTGGCAGCCGTCAGCAGGTTTACCCAATGCGCAGTGTAGGTGATATACCTGCCCTGACCATGCTTTGCAGACCAAGTATCAGTGGTCAGATGGACCCTTGCCCCAAAACTGTGTGCCAGACATGCCATTACTTCCTTTTGCACAATCAAGTACAGGTTGGGGATTGCCTTTTGTGCAAAGAAATTTCGGCCGGGTACCTTCCACTGCGGTGTCCCAATAGCTACAAATCTTTTGAATGCCTCAGACTCCACCAGCTTGTATGGTAAAAGCTGGCGGGCTAAGAGTTCAGTCAAGCCAGCTGTCAGACGCTGGGCAAGGGGGTGACTTTGTGACATTGGCTTCTTACGCTCAAACATGTCCTTGACAGACACCTGACTAAGGGCAGATGAGCAGGAACTGCTCAAGGCGAGAGACGGAGGGGCGGATGGTTGAGAGGGGGCAAGGAGGACAGCAGTGGTTAACGTGGCTGAAGATGCTGGACCAGGAGGAGGATGGCGGATTTGAGTTTGTGTGCTGCTTGTACTCATGTGTTGATCCCATAGGCGTTTGTGATGTGCGATCATGTGCCTTCGCAAAGCAGTTGTACCTAGGTGGGTGTTGGACCTCCCACGACTCACTTTCTTTTGGCACAGGTTGCAAATGGCATCGCTGTTGTCAGAGGCAGACACACAAAAAAAATGCCACGTTGCTGAGCTCTGCATTCTGGTGGTGGCAACAGCATGCGTTGATTGGCGTGCTGTCTGGCTGACCCCGTGTGCCGATGCATGCTGTCCGACTGTGCAACTAGCTCCTTGCGACGACCTCCCCCTGCTTCCAACTCGTCTCCTCCTCCTCCTCTCAGTCTCCCCATCTGAACTTTCCCCCTGTTCTTCTTCTCTTCTAGCGGGCACCCACGTGACACCCACGGATGCATCGTCATCATCAACCACTTCACTTGTATCTGACAACTCAGCAAAGGAAGCAACAGCGTACGTCCATGTGTGTAATGCTGCCTGACTGAGACATATCCCTGTTATCTCTGGCAATAATGGTTGCGCATCACTCATTTCTTCCAACTGATGTGTAAATAACTCCTCTGACATACAAAGTGAAGCTGCTGTGGTGCTAGTGTTGGTGGTGGCGGCAGGCGGGCGAGTGGTAACTTGAGAGGTGCCCGAAGCTAAGCTGGAGGAGGATGGTGCGTCAAGGTTCCGAGCAGAAGCTGTAGAAGATTGGGTGTCCTGTGTTAGCCAGTCAACTATGTCCTCAGAACTTTTCGAGTTCAGGGTACGTGGCCTCTGAACACTGGGCATTATTCTAGGGCCAAAGGGAATCACAGCACCACGACCACGACGGCCCCTGCGGGGTGGCCTGCCTCTGCCTGTCATTTTTTTTCGATTAGTGGTACTATGCGTGCAAGCTACTGTGACAACTGATATGAGTGGCACTTTGCAGTGGCAGAAGTTGGCAGAGTAGACGCTGTAGGCCTGACACACACGCTTGCAGACAACTAACTGCTATTCAATCTATTACAGTCAAAAAAATTTTTTTTTTTTTTTTAAATGTACACTACTGTTACACCAGATATGAGTTGCACTGGTGTGACACTGTGCCCTGGCAGGCCCTGAAACGCACACGTGTGAAGGAAACTGACTGCTATTATATAACAGTCCAAAAAGTTTTGTTAATGTGAGAAGGAGGAGGGGGGGTAATGTGAGAAGGAGGAAGGGGGTAATGTAAGGAGGAAGGCGGGTAATGTGAGAAGAGGAGGGCGGGTAATGTGAGGAAGGAGGGGGTAATGTGAGAAAGAAGGAGGGGTAATGTGAGAAGAAGGAGGGGAAGTAATGTGAGGAGGGTGATGTAGAAGGTTGTGAGGTGGGGGTAGTGTGCAGGGAGTAGTTTAGAAGTTAGTGATACTGAGGGTGGTGGGGGGGTAGCAGTGAGGCTGAGGTGGGGAGGTAGTGAGGCTGAGGGTGTGAGGTAGTGAGGCTGAGGGTGTGGGGTGAGTGAGGCTGAGGGTGTCGGGGTAGTGTGGGCTGAGGGTGTCAGGGAGTAGTGAGGCTGAGGGTGTGGGGGTAGTGAGGCTGAAGGTGTGTGGGAGTAGTGAGCCTACTGAGGTGCAGGGGGCAAGAGCCTGTGGGTGAGGTGGGGGATATGAGGCTGAGGTGGTGGGGGCTGGTGATGCTGAGGGTGGTGGGGGGGAGGCTGAGGGTGGTGTGAGGGGGTGGTGAGGCTAAGGAGGTGTGGGGGGGGTAGTGGGGCTGAGGGTGGTGTAGGGGTAGTGAGGCTAGGGGTGGTGTGGGGAGGTGTGAGTCTGGGGTTGGTGATACTGAGGGTGTTGGGGTGAGTTGAGGTGTGGGGGGTAGTGATGCTGAGGGGTTTGGTGAAACAGAGGCTGAGGTGTGGGGTATTAGTGAGGCTGAGAGTGTGGTGTAGGGGTAGTGAGGGCTGAGTGTGGTGTAGGGGAGTAGTGAGGCTGAGTGTGGTGTAGGGGTAGTGAGGCTGGGGTGGTGTGGGGGAGTGAGTAGGGCTGAGGGTGTGGGGGTAGTGGGAGGGCTGAGGGGTGTAGAGGTGTGGAGCTGAGGGTGGGTGTAAGGGGTGAGTAGGGCTTGGGTGGTGAGGCTGAAGGTGGTGTGGGGGTAGTGAGGCTGGGGGTGGTGTGGGGGGTAGTGAGGCTGAGGGTGTGGGGGATAGTGAGGTCAGAGAGATCAGATGAGTCCTTCAGGACTGTAGTGGACACTGAATACACTAGCCTAGCTATCAATTTCCCTATCAAATCAGCAGCAGCTCCACTGTCCCTCCTCTCACTAAGAATGCAGCTTCACAATGAAGGTAAAATGGATACTGTCCAGGAGGTGGGAGGGTCTGGGAGGGAGAGTCTGCTGCTGATTGGCTGGAATGTGTCTGCTGACTGTGAGGTACAAGGTCAAAGTTTACTCAATGATGACGAATAGGGGGCGGACCGAACAGTGCATATGTTCGCCATCCATGGCGAACGCGAACAAGCGATGTTCGCCAGGAACTATTCGCCTGCGAACCGTCCGGGACATCACTACCCACATTATTAAAAGTATTGTTCAACCATGTAATCAGATGTATATTATATGAATACCAACAGCTCTATAGAATCAATTTGATAAAAATCTAATTTTCATGTTGTAGACTGCATCTACTATAAAAAATATATTCTAATTCGTTAAATATATGGCAATGTGTCAGTCTCAGAATTTACTTGTTGCAAATGTCCAGTTTTCCCCATGAACCTTTTTTTATATTTGCATTTTGAACAGAGAACACAAATTAATACCCCTAAGCATTCCTAATGAAGTCTTGTTTTCCTCATTCTTTAAAAGTTAATGCTTCCACATGTTCTCATAACTAGTGTGTCAACATAATGGATAATTATAAAGAGCTATATTTGCTCCCAGCACTGTTTGACATAATGCATTCAGTCATATGCCCATATGTCATAAAAATAACATATTAAAAGTGGCAATTGATAATTAACCTGCATTTTATAAGACCTGCAAACTGCTTTGTTGTGAAATACTCTAGATAATGACTGTAAAATCCTTCTGACGCAGTCACTATCAAGAAAGCATTAAAAGTTTAAAGAATTACAATATTTGAAATACTTGTTTAAACACCTCAACACATTGTATTTAAACTGGATCTACTGTTATGCTATTCTAGTTTGAGCTAGTAAAACAATCTCAAGCAAAGTAAAATATTGCTTGGTTTAAAAACATTTAATCTTTGAAATCAACAAGTGCATTTCTTTCTTGGGACAATCAACTGCTAGAACCTATCTGATTTGTGTTTCTCTGCATAAGGACTGATACTATTATCTTGGCACATTTCCAGAATTCCCCATGGATATTATTGTTTATTTATTATTTTTGTTAATTTATGATTTATTTATTTATTTATTGGGGGGAGGGGATGATCACAAAGTTATTGTACGACCATTTCAACTTTTTCCTCATCTACCTTTTAGCAGCTTTGCAAAGCAAGTTTTTTTAATGCATTTATTCACATGTATATTGTTTATCTTTAGTCAAGTTCTATTGTCCAATTTTTAATTGTAGTTGATGTATTGAATTATTCTGCACCACATAGATATACAACAACTGTACTATTTTTAGTTGTGCTTTTTACAAACAAAAATAGTTTATGAATGTTAACCCCTTAAGGCAGGGGTGTCCAACCTGCGGCCCCCCAGATGTTGCTAAACTACAACTCCCATGATTCCCTGGATATCTGTTAAATTGAAAGAATCATGGGAGTTGTAGTTCAGCAACATCTGGGGGGCCGCAGGTTGGATAGCCCTGCTAAGGACTGATCCAAATGTACACGTTGTGATCAAAACAAAATGTAAACAAAACCTGGAATTTGACTATATGTCTGTTCAACCGTAATTCACCTCTTTCATATTAAGTGCACCCTCACTTATTATATATCATTTTATTCAGGGGAAACAGGGCTTCCATTTATCAAATATTTAGCTCTAAAACATAATTTAATATGAATAAAATAAAAAAAAGGGAGAAAATAAGAAATTTTGTAATTTTTTAGTTTTACATGACATTTTAACTGCAAATGTCATAATACTGTTTGCTTTTACTGCAATAAAATACACATATTTGTATTCAGTGATGTCTCGTGTGTAAAACAGTATACCCTATGTACAGGTTTTATGGTGTTTTGGAAAGTTACAGGGTCAAATATAGCATGTTACATTTTTCAGTTTTTTCACATTGAAATTCACCAGATTGGTTACATTACTTTTGAGACCGTATGGTAGCCCAGGAATGAGAATTATCCCCATGATAGCATACAATTTGTAATAGTAGATAACCCAAGGTATTGCAAATGGGGCATGCCCAGTCATTTTTAGTAGCCACTTGCTCACAAACACTGGCCAAAGTTAGTGTTAATACTCTTGACAAAGGCGCATCCTAGCGCCGAAACGCGTTGAGGTAGGGTTTTTAGATTTAGACTGCTTTGCAGCTAATTTTAGCCTAGGGTTCTGGGTTTCTCAGATATGGGTTTATCTAGCTCTTGATAGGCAGTTCATTACTCCTCCAGTTAAAGCACAGCATACCTGAGCGATACTGGATACTAGAAGCTTGATAAGCACACAGTTGTTCAGTTGTTAACTACTCCCTAAGCTTAGCACAGCATACCTGAGCAATACCAGACACTACAAATATGATAAGCATTCAGTTGCTCTATCCATTCTAGTGGGCTATTTTTCCCCAGGGACTCTTCCAGCAAAGTACTGAATAATCTATCCTGTGACCCAGAGATGTATTAGTGCACTATCTTAAGATTCCATTTAGGGATCTGCAGCAGTATACAGGATGCTATCCCTTATCTGCCAATGAAGCCTAGAACCTGTTTTTTGGGGGTTATTTACTAAATATCTACTTCAGATTTTATATACTTTACACTATATAGGTTTATTCAAGTCGGTTTTGTTTTTTACTCTTTGATACTTATGCCCTAAATTTTATCAGCACCATAAGTACCACAGACCCCATGAACCGCCGCTGCTGGGTTGGGGTCTCGCCATCTTCTACCCACCCTGGACCTACAACAAGGCTCCAGGTTCCAGTGGGGGAACCTCTCTTCCTTCCAGAGAGCAAAGCAGGATCAGGAACAAGAGCTCAGTAGCTAAGGGAGTATGCAGAGCATAGCAATCCCTGTAGTGAATATAGCTGTCCCCTCCAAACACGAGTCAAAGCTGCGAGTTGAGGGTCAAGTAGAACTGTTTAATGAGCACCAAAGAACTTTCTTTTATACAGGTTCACACACAAGGTTACCACCCACGTGGACCTTGTGGTACACAGGAAACAGGGTTATAACAGCCAATCAAAACAGAACAGTACAGTCAGACACTCCCAGTTAAGGCACACAAACCCTCCCTTCTGCCTGTGATATAATTACTGAACACAATGGGCTAAGCTAATTATCACAGGCAGAAAATATACAGTTTTATACAATATTCATAACTTCCAAACTATACATGCAATTTCCATAAAAGTTATATATTCCAAACCAGCATAATCAGTGCACAAACATATTTAAAAATCATCTGGATTGGCCCAGTGGTTCAAAAGATAGTTGGAAGTCCTACTGGACCAACCGCAAGCATGGCTTTCCTGCCCAAAATAGTTCCATAGATTTAGGCTGTGCAGCCGGTCTATCTTCTCCTCTATCCTGGAGATAATTGGCTTAAGAGGGTGTGGTATCCCGGTACAGAAAATATCTCTAAGTCCAAAAACTGTTACAAAAACTAGATAAAAATACATAACTCATATAATATAATGTTTAACCTATATGTCCAACATATACCCAGATAGCTTGGATCTGAGCGCTCAATATGTCTGAAAAGCATTCGGATGTCACGAATACAGTTGGATCGCCATGGGGTTAAACAATAGCAAGGGCTGATAGATTGAGGAGGGAAAAAGCAGCCAGTTTTAAGTGGTCTGGCAGTGTCCCTGGGGCGACGCCCCTGCTGGAGAACAATGGGACAGGAAAAAGGGAAAGGGCAAGAGGCACATTTTCCCTTGGAATTAAAGGGGCAGAAAAAGTGTTTTAAAAATTCAAGAAGCCCAAATAGACTTTTTAAATGGCAATGCACCACAGGGGCCATAGTCATAAGGCAGGAGGCTGGCAATCAGGCCTCCTCCAAAAGCCAGAGGAAAAGGGCAGTTTGGCACATAAAAAGCCAGTGGCAAAGGGCAGTTTGCCACACTTATGTATATAGATATATATATATTAATATCAAAAATACAGTTAGAACAAAATTACACACATATATATATATATAAAATAATTTTTTATAATTTTTAACGTATTTACATATTTTATATATAAATGTATATAATATATATATATATTTAATAAATATAATTCTACGTGTATTTTGATTATATATATATATATATATATATATATATTGTGACGAAGTGCCCTTCGCCACTTGTGCCTGGAGAGGACTGCTTGCCCGCCTCTTGCCCTGTGACTATGGCCCCTGGGATGTATTGCCCTTTAAAGACATGATTTGGGCATAATGGATTTGTGTTGTGCTGCTGCTGGCCCTTTTAAGAACTATCTGGGGACATACTGTGGAGTTACTGGGTGGCCACCATTTCCTGTATCAGAAGCACATGGTGAGAACAATGGATGGCGGCCATTTTAACTCACAGACACTGTTTGGACTTTTCAACACGGTGCCAATCCCGCCAGTATTGGGTGCACAGAGACATCGTGCAGTGGTTTTGGACTATACAGCAGGGGACACATTATACAGTGATTGTTTTTCATTTAGCCTGTATATGTTCTGCAGAATCTGCATTAAACTGTATTTTCCAAAGTACTGAACGGATCTGGGTGAATTTTGGATATGTGGTTCAACCAGATCCCCCGGTTCCAAGGATATATATAACTTTTTATGGGGTTATTGCATGTTTTGGGGTCCCGGTGTGTTTTATGAAACTGTATTATTTCTGGCCAGCAGATAATTGAGCTTTGTGTATTGTAGAAACTCAATTATCTAGTCTGGCCCAGAGGAGGAGTTTTGTGTTGCATAAATTGTGAGTTCTGTGTGCCAGTAAATCAGTCTTGTTCCAGCATTAAGCCTTGGCTCATGTTTGGGGGATTGGAGAAATACACTCTTGGGATTGCTATAATCACTATACTCCCCAGGGTATGATCACTAAGTTCTGCTAAGAGCTTGTTCCTGTTCCTGCTATCTGGGGAAAGAGAGGTTCACCCACTGGAAGCTGGATCCTGGCCTTGGGTCCAGGGTGGGTGGAGACAGCAGAGACCCCGACGCAGTTGCATCGCTGGAAGTGGGGTCCACAGTGCTGATGGTGTCGGTTGGAGTGCTTGGAGTCCTCAGCGAGCACTAGGAGCATCGATTGGCGGAGGTACTCAGTCGGAGTGCCAGCGGTCCGTCACATATATATATATATATATATATATATATATTAATATTAAAATACACTTAGACAGGGTATGTGTATGTATGTGTAAGCGTATGTATGTATACTTCTATCATATATTTTATATATATATATATATATATATATATATATATATATATATATACCACTGACACATGGTATCATACATGAAAAAAAGAAAAATTAATAAGTATATAAATATTTAATGTATATGTCAATTCACAACAAAAGCAAAAGTTTAATATATCAAAAGTAAAAAATGTAAAATAAATAAATAGAATCTCTTATATCACAGTGCCATCGGACAAGTAAAATCCAATAGATTCCAAAATAACCATCAGCTAAAAAGTATCAGATTAGTGTAACAAGGTCTAGCATAAAAAGTAACAGTATCTGAGAAGCAGTAATTTTATAACCTGACAGGAGGCTTCGTATTTTGCATTAACTCTCTTTACTAAACTCCACAGCAGTAAAGAAAAACGTAAAGACTAAAATAAATCACTGAGCAGCATAGTATATAAGGGTCATGCTGCCTGTACACTTCCTCTTTCTTTACTGCTCCATCGCAGACAGGTCAGAATATTTGCTCCCCTGGAGCTTTATACATTTATTGTCATTAGTTATTTGTTCCATTCTATTTTCATACCTTATTATCATTGTTTTTATCACCTTTTATTTCCATTTTACTGGGCTGTGGGACTAGGGGCTCTCTGTGGGTTTTCCACCCTCCTATCTGCCCCTCTATTCCTTCTAGGACCCTCCCTTGGCCTCCCCTCGGTCTCCCCAGGTCCCCCCACTGCCCCCCTAACCTGGAGTGCCCTCCTGGGCTCCCTCCTTGCGGCCGGTATCGTTCGCGGCCGTTTTTGTGCCGGGCCATGGCCGGCCTCAAAATGTAGTCCCTGGCTTGCGGCCTACCTCGCGGCCGCCATTTTGGATCACGGACATCGTGAGATTCTCGCGGCCATCTTAGTTTTGCCTCATACATCTCATTACTCAGACTCAGTGTGCCTGTGCTAGCTTGCTGTTACCTCTGCACTGCTGTTTTTCACACCTTTTGTGTCTGACACCCCTGTGACTGAAGGATTACCTGCTCAAGCACTCCATCTGCTGCTATCAATCTGCTACTCAGTCTCTGTGCCTCATCTGCTTCTATCAAGCTATATCCTGTGGCTGGGTCAGTCAGGTCAGTGCTGCTGCCTGTTTATTATTATTGTGACCTGCACTCAAGGGTCCCAACCCTGTGCAACCAGGGTGAGCCCCCACTATAATACGCTGCTTACTGGGAGACCAGCTGTTGCAGTTCTCTCTAACTGGGTGAGCCCCAGTTTATAAG